CGGGGCTGGGGCTGCATTCCAGTAACTGAGCTATCCCTCCTGATGGCAGCCCTGCCACAGCCAGGAGGCCTCCAATCGCGACAGGTTCTGCTCAGCTCTTCACCCTGCCCAGATCAATGAACTGTTTCCTGATTCTTTCCAGGTGGGACCTTGAAACACAGGGGCCCTTCTGCTCTGGGAAGGCATTCAAGATCAAGGGTCATTTCCAGTATAAAATTCCAGGAAGGTCCCACAGGGCTCCCCTCCCCCCAAGTGCACAGCAAAAAAAGGGAGTAAAGGTAGGAGGAGTGGCAAAGTGTTTGCCCCTGCCACGTGCCAGTCTGGCAGACAGCAAGTACCTTCCACCAGCCACGTGCGTGCCACGCTCTAGCCGGCTCCCCGGAAACGCAGCCACCTGGTGCTTGTATCCCCCCACCTGATCCCTTCCCCAGCTGCTGGGTGCATCTACTCTGCAGCCGCCTAGCGCAGAGGCTGACATTGCCCCTGGAATTACAGCCCCAGTGCCTGCGGGCGAGGAAGCCCAAGGTGGCCAGGGCTGCACAGGAAGCCAGACACTGCGGCAACATGGTGGCCTCTGAGTTGAGCCCGGCCCTGCTGAATCCCCAGCCCTGGCCACCAGAGATCTGGGGCAGGAGCAGGCCGGTCCTGTGTAACGGAAGACTGAGGCGTCCATCTGCCTCCACCCCCAGCAGCCACATCTCCCGTAACACGGGGTGGGGGCCACTACGGAACCCGTGGCTCATAGAATCATAGGACTGGAAAGGACCTCGGGACCTTATGAAGTCCAGTCCCCTACGCCAGTGTTTCCTCCCATCTTTTTCCATCTATGGGCAGAATAAATTTTGTTGTATGCACTGAGGAACGTGCACCCCCAATGGAAACACTTACTGCCAGCTGTGGGCACGCTGCTAATCAGCCGTGTGGTATTTGATTCTCTCCTGGTGTAGCCAGACAGCCCCCCTCCCCCCATCTCATCCATCCTATTTTGCCTCTCTGAGGTTCCTGAAGCATACAGGGCAGAGAAGGAGCAGTAAAATCAGCATAGTCTATGCTGGCTCATCTGATCCTGAGAAGCTGAAAACATAGATATGAGGAGAGAGAGAGCGATTAAGGCAATCAGCATAGCCATTAAGCTTTGATCTGCTTTGATGCGAGATCAGGATATGCAGGTGTGCCCGGCTGGCACCCATGTTGATTTGAACACACACAGTCCCTGGAAGAGGAATTTCCCGAGAAAAGTATGCCCAGTACTTCCAATTTAGTTCTCTCTCTTACAAGTGTAAATTAAGTTCACAACTCCCTTGTAAGAACTGGTCTCACAAGACAGACCAGCACCATTTGGCATCACAGATAAGAAAGAGAAATACGTGACCCCATGAGTATAAAGGTGGTACAGCAGCACACTCTCTTTTGAGTGTCATTCTACCCTCTACCTGCTGGTCGGGTTAGGTGTTTGACCTCCCGAGGTTCTCTGGGGACACCCACCTCGTATTTTCATCTTTCCTAGGAATTGAGGGACCGACCCTGGCCTGACATGCTGGAGTCGAGAGGCACAGAAGGGGGTAAAAATTGTACCTGGATGTGGTCCTCTGTCTTAAGTGTACACATAGAAAGA